TTCCGTCAGTATGTCTGAACAATTCGGGACAAAACGTTTGTAATAATAATTGGTTTAATCAGATTTGGACTTAAAAAAAAAAAAAAAAACATATCCAAGTACGTTTAAATCACATGTAGACAAGGCAGAATTCATATTGTTTTGCTGCTTCTGAGTCTTCCCACAACATATGTGTTTGTGTTGTTATCAATCAAATGGCGGTTCTTTAAGTCCATCGAAAGATTGAAGTGTAAAGAAAATCATATGTGAAAAAAAAAGAGCCTATCACTTAATCAAAATGTTGATTTGCAGAATTTACAAACTACACAGGATGAAAAATATTTTTCGTAATTAACTTTTAAAACCATTTAGTATACTACTTCGGGTCTTATTATTTTTCTAATTCAATATATTTTATAAAAATGTTATATTTATTATTTTTAAAAAAATTTTAAAGATCTCTGTATAAACGCCACGGTTGTGTTTTTTTTTTTTTTTATACGTTTTGAGAAAAGTGTATACTTCAGAAGTCCAGTTTGTTAAATTATTATTTCTTTTTTAAAGGCTTTTTGTCTCAAGCGGTGAAATTGTTTGAAAAGTTTCGGATTTAAATTTTTTTTTAATACTTGGAGAGGGTTTTTTTTTTTTAAATATATCTTTTGGTCACTGAGAAACAAGTTTGCTGGTCAATGTCCAATTATCGCAGGTGCTAATATCACAGTCACTTTTTAAATCAGTAATTTGGAGGCAAAGGGCAAGATCAGTGAGGAGAACAACAGATAGGAGACAAGGAGGTCGTGCACCTGATCGTTGAGTTGATCTCTTCCATCCAAGTTTTACCTCATGCCACATGGGTGTTTGATTTTGAACATAAGGTTAACAAGGATCGAATCGTGGACAAGAATCGTTGTACTGGTTTGGTCCGTGCGGAGTGAAGTTGTTGCGGCGCTAAGCAGGTTGACTGTTAACCCCGCAAGCAGAAAAATAATATATGGTAATACGATCGAAACAAGGACAACAAAGACGAGGATGTAAAAGTTTAAGCCAAATTTTATTAAATAATCTGGCACAAGTATATACAAATAATCGTTTGTGGTAGTTCGGTCGTGTAGTTTTGAAGGAGCGTTGTCAGGTTTCTAGGTGACAGCTTGGAGGTAGGCCGATGGAACACCGGTGTTCGAGGTCCAGTCGATCCCTGGATGTCTGTACTTGAGTAAAGAGCACGTCGGCGCTTGACGAGAGAGAGGATCGACGCGGAAGCGCTGGTGTAGTCAGTTCGTCCTTGGGTAGACTGTCGTGCAGGATCGCAGCTTGGCAGTCCTAATAAAAGGACGTTCGTAATAACGCGGCTAGGTTAGTCCTGAAAAGGACTATTGCATATTATGTAACGAGGCGTAGTCTGGAAAAACGACTGGTGCATATCATGTAACCGAGTGTAGGCTAGTGCATATCATGTAGCCTAGGATAGACTAGTGCATATCATGTATCCGAGTGTAGGCTAGCGCATATCGTGTAGCCGAGTGTAGGCTGCTGCTGATGTCCGCTTCGCTGCTGGAGCTGGCTCTGGCTCTAGCTGTTGATGAAGCTGGGCTGCTGCTGCTGGCTCTAGCTGCTTCGTGTGGTCAGCGAAGGTGAGAGGGGGACCTCGTCGCTCAAGCCCGAGGTCAAAAATCAGCCGGAAGAATGAATTGGTGGAAAAAATCCGCTGTGTTTATATAGGCTGAGGTCGGCAACGTAGCCTGTCAGCGATATATTACCTTCTACTTTTTGGCTGTACCCGTGGGTTCCATTCGGACACCATGTGTATATAAAGTGGTTTTTGGTAATTGTTTTTGGTTAGGAAAGTTCGTATATGTAAATGTTACGTTTTTTTTTTTTTAGTTTGTGTGAGACGTTGACTGAAAAACGCTTAGTCACCGGAAGTTAACGGCATTCGTTATGTTTTCCGCAGTGATGCTTTTAGATGTTTGAGTAGCCGGCACTAACTTCCGGCCGGGTGCGATAAGGCCCCCTTCCTAGAGGATTGATCGTGATCAATTCACAAAAAAAATATAAGTCTTTAGTTTGGCAGGAAAATGAACTCTTCTGCCTGATTTTGTTCGTACGACTGGTGTTGTTGTTTCATCTTCCGTCGTTGTTGGTAAGTCTGGCTCGGGAGAAGTTTCCTCTAACCAAGCTGGTTTAAGTCGATCGATGGAGACTGTCTTTGTCGCGCATGATCGTGACAAATTTCTTAGAACGCTTCAGAACTTTAAAAGGGCCTTGGTAGCTAGGTGTGAGAGGTTTTTTACGGCGTCGTTCCTAACAAAAACAAATTTCTGTGGTAAGTAGGAGCTTGTGCTTTGTTGTCGTGGGGGAGTGTATGTAAGTTTGTCCATTTTGTGGCGCAGATCTTGCACGAAAGAACTTGGTGAGGTTGTGCAAGAGTACTGCGGAAGGTGAAAATATTGTCCTGGTAAGGAGAGAGGCGTGCCAAACACGAGCTCTGTTGTCGAACACCCTAAATCAGTTTTGAGGGTATTCCGCAAAGAGAGCATAGTCATGGGGAGGTTGTCGACCCAGTTGTGTATGTCGAGTTTGGTTGACAGGGACGTCTTTAAGGATCGGTGAAATCTCTCCACGAGGCCGTTTGCGCAAGGATGGTAAGCCGTCGTTTTAATGTGTCTGACACCCAAAAGTTGAGAGAATTCTCGGAAAAGCGAGGACTGAAATTGTGGTCCCCGATCTGTAGTGAGAACTTGTGGTACGCCAAAGTTTGTAATCCAGTTGGTGAGAATGGCTTTAGAAACTGTGGTAGCGGAAATGTCCTTAATCGGCACAGCGACTGGCCATCTCGAAAAACGGTCTATGATTGTTAGAAGGTATTGGTACCCCTGGCACATTGGTAGAGGCCCGACGAGGTCAACGTGGATGTGACTGAAACGTGCATCGGGTGTGGCGTATGTACCAACTGGTGATTTTGTGTGCCTCTGAATTTTGCATTTTTGACATTGTATGCATGTTGAGACCCAATTCCTAATGTCTGAATTCATGTTGGGCCACACAAATCGATCGGCGATAAGCTTGACGGTTGCTCGCTTGCTCGGATGAGATAGATTGTGGAGATGGAGAAATACTTTTTTTCTAAGAGATGGAGGAATGTACGGTCTCGGAGTATCCAGTGCGGTGTCACAGAAAAGAGTTTTATCGCTGAACGGACACGGGAATTCCTGCAGTTTCAAAGAAGTCTCCTTAATGATGTCAGGTATCGTCGTATCGTCTTTTTGTTTGACGGCTATCAGCTCCTGGCTCCAAACGTCGTTATCCATGGTATTGACGTCTGTTCTGGACAATGTGTCTGCGACGGTGTTGTTCTTTCCTTGGACGTGTCTGATGTCCGTCGTAAACTGTGAGATGTAGTCGAGGTGACGTGTTTCACGGGATGTATACTTGTCTGCGCTGACATTCATCGCGTTGATCAGTGGTTTGTGATCCGTGAACATAGTGAAATGTCTGCCTTCCAGAAGATGTCGAAAATGACGTATGGACAGGTAGATCGCCAGGAGTTCTCGTGAGAAGGTGCTGTATCTTCTCTGGGCTGCAGAAAGTTTAGCTGAGAAGAAGGCTATCGGCTGTCTCGTCATATTCACTTGCTGCTCCTATTCCAACGTCGGAAGCGTCTGTTGTAAGGAAAATTCTTGTTTCCGGGTCGTTTTCGATGAATGAGAGTTTTGTGAAGTTTATCAGCGCTGTCTTTGCCGTTTCGAAAGCCCGCAAGGTATCGCCCTCTAGGGTAATTTGTTTGTTCTTCCGCTCTATGAGGTTTGTCAACGGGGAGAGAATTGTCGAGCAGTCGGGGATGAACCTGCGGTAGAAATTTATCATACCGATAAATCGTCTGATTTGTTTTGTGGGTGTATGCGTAGGGAAATTTTTAATTGCGTCGATTTTCTCGGGTAATGGTGTGATACCATCTTTGTCGATATGATGCCCTAAGAAATTCACCTCAGATGCCCCGAAAGTGCATTTGTCGATGTTCAGCCGGAGTCCATAAAGTGCTATTCTTTGGAACACTTCGTTTAGATGTTGTTTGTGTGTGTTCTCATCTTTGCTGGCTACTAGTATGTCATCGATGTAGGCATATGCGTACGTTAGGCCGCGCAGTACTTCATCTATGAAGCATTGGAACGTTTGTGCTGCATTCCTCAGGCCAAAGGGCATCTTGAGGTATTCGAAGAGACCAAAGGGAGTGGTTACGGCGGTCTTTGGGATGTCCTCCGGAGCTATGGGGATCTGGTGGTAAGCCTTAGTTAGGTCTATCTTCGAAAAGACGCGAATGCCCTGCAACCCTGAGGCGAAATCGTGTATGTGCGGGACCGGATAGCGATCGGGTATGGTTGTAGCGTTTAATCTTCAATAATCGACACATACACTAAAGTCTGTGCTTCCCGGTTTAGGTACGAGATGTAGGGGTGAGGCGTATGGGCTATCGGAGGGTCGTATGAATCCGTCCTTCAGTATATTGTTAAACTCCTTTTGGGCGTATTCCAGCTTATGAGGAGGAAGTCGTCGTGGGTGGGAAAATGTTGGCTGTCCACTGGTCTTTATATGGTGCTGTGTTTGGTGTTTTGCCGGACCGATACCTGCGAGTGGTTGAATGAAGTCCGGGTATCTGTTTAGGATCTCGATGTACTCTCGTCCGTGGCAAGTTGTCACACTGATTCCAGTGGTGTTGTGTCGAGAGAGGGTGCCTTTAACAGCAATGTTCGTGGTATTGTCTGATAAAGTCCTCGTATTCATGTGCACGGCTAGATCATAATGGGCCAGGAAATCTGCCCCGAGTATTGGCGTTTTTACGTATGCCTGGGTGAAAGTCCAGGTAAAATCGCGCCGCATACCGATGTTAAGAGTCAGTGTCTTGGCTCCATATATCTCGATCGTCGAGCCGGTTGCTGCCTGGAGTTTATACGGGGTCGCCTTTCGGTCTTGCTGTTCTTTGGTGGGTATCACGCTGATTGCTGCTCCTGTGTCCACTAAAAACTTTATGTGGTTCCGTCGGTCCCATACGTAGAAAAGGCGGCTTCGTATGTTTTTGCCGGGGGGGTTCTGCCGATTCTACCCGCCGGTTGTTTAGTTTTCCGACTTGGTTTTGGAGCTGTATTTGCAGGGTGCCGAGCAATTCCTTGCTCTGGTGCCGAATCTGTGATGGTACCAGCATAATTCCGGGTCGACTCGTCGATCCCTGCTGGTACTCCGAGCTCTCCGTCGCCAACCGCCGACATCGGGCCTCTCGATTTGCGGGAAAGGAGCATTCGTATATCCTGCAGCTCATGTTGCAGGTCAGCTACTGCCTTTTCCAGATCCGTTTCTTTGGCAGGTGTGTCGTCTGGGCGCTGCACGGCACACACTCCTTGGTCCAGTTTAGTTGCGATGCGGTCAGCGGAGTTTGCTAACTGGTCCAGTGGAATGTGGTCAGCGATTGGTGCCAATATCTGCGTTATGGTAGTGGGTAACTTGTCCATCCACAGTTCGCGCAAGATTGATTTGGCCATGGAATGTTTCCCCAGTCGGCTCCTCATGAAGCGTAGAAGCTGTGAGGGTGTTCTGTCGCCCCTGGTGACGTGGGTAAAAAGTTCCTGGAGCAGTTCCTCGTCCGAACGGCCAGTTCGTTTCAGAATCGCATCCTTGAGGCGAGTATATGGCTCCTGCTCGAGTACATGTTCCAAGATGTCGGCTACTTCATCGACAACTGAAGGTGGCAAAACTTGTACCACGTTGGCGAATTTTGCTGGCTGTGACGTTATTCTCCGTACTGAGAAAATGGCTTCCAACTGCAGAAACCAGTTCTTGGTGTTCTGCTCGTTGTACGGAGGGAGGTTTGTGAGTGGCATTGCCACATTTATGAGAGTGTTCTGTTCCCACTCGTCAGTTGCCATCTTGCTCGATCGTAAATATCGGGGTCACCACTTGTTGCGGCGCTAAGCAAGTTGACTGTTAACCTCGCAAGCAGAAAAATAATATATGGTAATACGATCGAAACAAGGACAACAAAGACGAGGATGTAAAAGTTTAAGCCTAATTTTATTAAATAATCTGGCACAAGTATATACAAATAATCGTTTGTGGTAGTTCGGTCGTGTAGTTTTGAAGGAGCGTTGTCAGGTTTCAAAGCGACAGCTTGGAGGTAGGCCGATGGAACAGCGGTGTTCGAGGTCCAGTCGATCCCTGGATGTCTGTACTTGAGTAAAGAGCACGTTGGCGCTTGAGGAGAGAGAGAATCGACGCGGAAGCGCTGGTGTAGTCAGTTCGTCCTTGGGTAGACTGTCGTGCAGGATCGCAGCTTGGTTGTCCTAATAAAAGGACGTTCGTAATAACGCGGCTAGGTTAGTTCTGAAAAGGACTATTGCATATTATGTAACGAGGCGTAGTCTGGAAAAACGACTGGTGCATATCATGTAACAAAGGGTAGACTGCTGCTGATGTCTGCTTCGCTGCTGCTGCTGGCTGGCTCTAGCTGCTTCGTGTGGTCAGCGGAGGTGAGAGGGGGAGCTCGTCGCTCAACCCCGAGGCCAAAAATCAGCCGGGAGAGTTAGTATTTACTTGACTCCCACTAAGTCAAGATGTGACACAAGGTCGATTAACGTGGGAGACCCGAGTGTTTCCACTCAAAGGCCACTGGTCATAGCTTGTCCAAGCTGGTCAGAGCCTAGTCAAAGCTGGTCATGACTTGTCCTAACACGTCCAGGCCGGAGCCAGTCCAAGCTAGTCAAAGCCTTGATCGAATCTCAGCCATCGGCCAAGAAACGATCCATTTTTTGTCAAAAACCCCAGAAATCCGCAACGTAGCCTGTCAGCGATATATTTGGGGTGATGACTGAAAATTCCCTTCTACTTTTTGGCTGTACCCATGGGTTCCATTCGGACACCATGTATATACAAAGTAGTTTCTGGTAATTATTTTTGGCTAGGAAAGTTCGTATATGTAAATGTTTCGTTTTTTTTTTTGTTTGTGTTAGACATTGACTGAAAAACGCTTAGTCACCGAAAGTTAACGGCATTCGTTACGTTTTCCGCGGTGACGCTTTTAGATGTTTGAGTAGCCGGCAGTAACTTCCGGCCGGGTGCGATATATTAAATGATGAAATAAAACGGCGTGCGGATATTGCCATGCCCTTTTCTCATACGAAATGATGCATGTAAGGAAAGCAAACTGAAAAAAGAAAAAAAAGAGAAAAAGAGAAAAAGAGAAAAAAAAGAGAAAAAAAGAGAAAAAAAGAGAGAAAAAGAGAAAAAAAAAGAAAAAAGAGAAAAAAAAGAGAAAAAAGAAAAAAAAAAAAAAAAAGAGAAAAAAAAAAAAGAGAAAAAAAGAAAAAAAGAGAAAAAAGAGAAAAAAAGAGAAAAAAAGAAAAAAAAAGAAAAAGAAAAAAAGAGAAAAAAAAAAGAGAAAAAAGAAAAAGAAAAAAAGAAAAAAGAAAAATAAGAAAAAAGGAAAAAAAAAGAAAAAATAAGAAAAAAGGAAAAAAAAAGAAAAAAGGAAAAAAAAAGAAAAAAGGAAAAAAGAAAAAGGAAAAAAAGAAAAAGGAAAAAAAGAAAAAGGAAAAAAAGAAAAAAGGAAAAAAAAAAAAAAAAGATTATATTTATATTCATAGCAATGCTGTTGATCGTTCGGAAATTCAAATCTTGGCCTGAAAGTAAACGGGGTGGGGACATTGCGATGCGAATTTCTACCTTCTTTGTCATTTTTTCTTTTTAATAATATTAAATTTCTTCTCATCAAATGATACAGGTTGTATCATGTATTTTTTTTTTTAAATCCTAATGTTTTCTCATATCAAATGGTCCAGGTTGAGGAAGCAAATTCAAAGAAAATAAAAAAAATTCTACTAATAGCAATGCTGTTGATCGTTCGGAAATTCATGTCTTGGCCTGAAAGAGAATGGGGTGGGGATATTGCTACCACCATTTCCACCTTTTTGTCAGGTTTTTTTTTTTTTTTTTTTTTAAATCCTAATGTTTTCTCATATCAAATGGTCCAGGTTGAGAAACAAATTAAAAAAATAGAAAATAAAAAATTCTACTAATAGCAATGCTGCTGATCGTTCGGAAATTCAAGTCTTTGCCTGAAAGAGAATGGGGTGCGGATATTGCTACGACCATTTCTACCTTTTTGTCATTTTTTTTTTTTTTTTTTTAATCCTAATGTTTTCTCATATCAAATGGTCCATGTTGAGAAAGCAAATTCAAAGAAAGGAAATTTTTACTAATAGCAACGCTGTTGATCGTTCGGAAATTCAAGATTTGGCCTGAAAGAGAATGGGGTGGGGATATTGCTACGACCATTTCTACCTTTTCCTCATTTTTTTTTTTTTTTTTTAATCCTAATGTATTCTCATATCAAATGGTCCAGGTTGAGAAAGCAAATTCAAAGAAAATAAAAGGAAAAATTCTACTAACAGGAATGCTGTTGATCGTTCGGAAATTCAAGTCTTGGCCTGAAAGAGAATGGGGTGGGGATATTGCTACGACCATTTCTACCTCTTTGTCAGGTTTTTTTTTTTTTTTTTTAAATCCTAATGTTTTCTCATATCAAATGGTCTATGTTGAGAAAGCAAATTCAAAGAAAATAAATAAAAAAAATTCAACTAATAGCAACGCTGTTGATCGTTCGGAAATTCAAGTCTTGGCCTGAAAGAGAATGGGGTGGGGATATTGCTACGACCATTTCTACCTTTTTGTCATGTCTTTTTTTTTTTTTTTTTAAATCCTAATATTTTCTCCTATGAAATGGTCCAGGTTGAGAAAGCAAATTCAAAGAAGATAAAACAAAAAAATTCAACTAATAGCAATGCTGTTGATCGTTCGGAAATTCAAATAAGGGGAGATTGCTTAAATTTCTTTTTTACTATATTTTCAACTTTATTTTGTTTTTTTTTTTACAATTATTTTTTTTTTCTTATATGAAATGAAGTAGGTAATGAGATCAAATTGAAAGAAAGTAATGAAAATTCTACTTACATTCGTGTCAATCCTGATGATGTTTCAGAAATCCAAATCGCCTTCTGAAATAGAACAGTGTGTCTGTGTGTGTGTGCCAGGGCAGATTGCTCAAAATTTCTTTTTTTACTATTTTTTCAACTTTCTTTTGTTTTCTTTTTTTTTTTACAATTATTTTTTTTTTTCTTATATGAAATGAAGTAGGTAATGAGATCAAATTGAAAGAAAGTAATGAAAATTCTACTTACATTCGTGTCAATCCTGATGATGTTTCAGAAATCCATATCGCCTTCTGAAATAGAACAGTGTGTCTGTGTGTGTGTGTGTGCCAGGGCAGATTGGTTAAAATTTCTTTTTTTACTATTTTTTCAACTTTCTTTTGTTTTCTTTTTTTTTTTACAATTATAATTTTTTTTTTCTTATATGAAATGAAGTAGGTAATGAGATCAAATTGAAAGAAAGTAATGAAAATTCTACTTACATTCAGTCAATCCTGATGATGTTTTCAGAAATCCATATCGCCTTCTGAAATAGAACAGTGTGTCTGTGTGTGTGTGTGTGTGTGTGTCAAGGGCAGATTGCTCAAAATTTCTTTTTTACTATTTTTTCAACTTTCTTTTTTGTTTTCTTTTTTTTTTTAAATTATTTTTTTTTTTTCTTATATGAAATGAAGTAGGTAATGAGATCAAATTGAAAGAAAGTAATGAAAATTCTACTTACATTCGTGTCAATCCTGATGATGTTTCAGAAATCCATATCCCCTTCTGAAATAGAAAAGTGTGTCTGTGTGTGTGTGTGTGTGTGTGTGCCAGGGCAGATTGCTTAAAATTTCTTATTTTACTATTTTTTCAACTTTCTTTTGTTTTCTTTTTTTTTTACAATTATTTTTTTTTTTTCTTATATGAAATGAAGTAGGTAATGAGATCAAATTGAAAGAAAGTAATGAAAATTCTACTTACATTCGTGTCAATCCTGATGATGTTTCAGAAATCCATATCGCCTTCTGAAATAGAACAGTGTGTCTGTGTGTGTGTGTGTGTGTGCCAGGGCAGATTGCTCAAAAATTTCTTTTTTACTATTTTTTCAACTTTCTTTTGTTTTTTTTTTTTTTTCATATGATTATTTTTTTTTCTTAAAGATGAAAATTCTTTGTATTCATTAACAATGATGATTTCGGAAATTGAAATAGAAAAAGTAATGTGTGTGTGTTTTTGATTGCTTAAAATTCTACTTTTACTATTTTTTCAACTTTCTTTTTTTTTTTTTTTTTTTTTATCCTATTTTTTTTTTTATATGAAATGAAACAGGGATGAAATCAAATTCAAAGAAAGTGTTCTACTCATTGTGTGTGTGTGCCAGGGCATCTTTCAAATTTCAAATCATCTTAAAATTTTTTTTTTTAGAACTATTTTTTCAACTTTCTTTTGTTTTTTTTTTTTTTCAATTTTTGTTTTTTTTTTTTTTTTTTTTATATGAAATGAAACATGTAATGAGATCAAATTGAAAGAAAGTAATGAAAATTCTACTTATTCATGTCAATCCTGATGATGTTTCAGAAATCCAAATCGCCTTCTGAAATAGAACAGTGTGTGTGTGTGTGTGTGTGTGCAGGCTCAAAAATTTTTTTTACTATTTTTACAACTTTCTTTTTTTTTTTTTTTTTTTACTATTTTTTTTTTTTTTTATATGAATGAAACAGGGAATGAAATCAAATTCAAAGAAAGAAATGAAAATTCTACTTACATTCATGGCAATCCTGATGATCTTTCAGAAATCCAAATCGTCTTCTGAAATAGAACGGTGTGTGTGTGTGTGTGTGTGTGTGGGGGGATTGCTAAAAAAGAAATCTTTTTTTTACTATTTTTTCAAAATTTTTTTTTTTTTTTTTTTTTTTTTACAATTTTTTTTTTTTTTTTTTTTTATGAGATGAAACAGGGAAGGA